TTGTAATTCCAGTGTGGTCCTGGGAGCATGTCTGTGTAGCATCCACTTACTCTGCCACCATTTGTTTTTCCATAAATTTTTGAACACCAACAAAAAGTTTCTGGTTGGCGATGATGTCATTCCTTGAGACACTTAATTCAAGAGTTGGAGCAGCAGACTGCCTGGGGTTGATTAGGGTTAGGAGTCAGTAGAACCCTGTGCAGGCCACATAATTGGTGCTGAGTAAGTATTTATTTCAGGAGAATGGCAGATGGCGATATCTTGAAAGTGGCTGAATACAGAAGTCTGTAGCTGATGGAGAAGAAAGGAAGGGCTGGAGATTAGATTATTGGGTGTGGATGAGAGTGCCCAGGGAGAATTTTTAGGGTGAGAATGGGGCTGACGTGTTATTCCTGGGCAGCATCTATATTAAAAGGTTTACAAAGGAGAGATAAAGAGAGGCTAAAGGTGTTGCCAGGAAACCAGTCTCTCAAACCTAAATGAAGCAAACATGTCAGAAAGACAGGGAGGGTACACCGGAAGCTCCAGTTTACACAGAGGGCTCAGCAGTCTAGTAGCCCAGGTAGGATGTCTTAAGCAGAGGTGTGGATGGGAGCGGTCCTCACATATGGCATCCTGGGCCATGGAAAGAGACTCAGAGTTCCACAACCTGTCTCCTCATTAAGATTTTCCAGTTTTTAAAATGGTATTTTGTCTTTTCTGATTCTAAAAATAATCCATGCTTATTGTAGAAAATATATAAAATACAAAACAGTTCAACAACAAAAACGTAAAATGGCTACTGCTTGCTTCTGTCCAAGATCCAGGCTCTCCTAAGACTTGCTTGTACCTGGGGCTAAACTTCCATCCAGTTTGAACCTTGTCATTCTCTTTTCAGCACCATATCTTCGTAAGTGATTGCTCAACAGGTTAGTACAGACATGGCCAAACACTGGAAAACAAATAATTTGATAAACTATAAACTAATACACTCTGAGTACGAGTGGTCACATGGAGGGTGACACCATTGGTAATCAATCAGCCCCAAGACCCATTGGCACACTCATTCACAAGCACATAGCCTTGTCCATGGCCCTGTGGGCACACACATTCACAAGCACACAGCCTTGTCCTGGCTAAGCATGATCTAATACACTTCTCTTTTACAGTGATGGGGTAAGAGCCAGGGGAACTATGCTTATGAGCAGTCATTCTAGCCACATCCCTCCTCAGTAACTCGTGTATTTATTAAATAGTGGGATACAGGGGTCTGCCTGCCACCATTTTGTAGCCCCTCTCATGAGAGGGGAGCAAAGTGTGCACCTTTGCTAGGGTTGTTGGAACAAATCAGCACAGACACAAGCTCATCAGCTCAAGGTTCTGTAGGTCAGTAGTCCAGGTTGGCTCTACTGGGTTCTCTGACCTGGTTCTCACTGGCCAAAATCGAGGTGTTGATTGACTGGGTTTCATAAAGGAGTTCGAGGAAGAATCCACTTCCACGCCAACTCAGGTTGTTGGCAGAATCCAGTTCCTCGAAGTGTGGGACTGAGGTCCCTGTTTTCTCCTTGGCTGATAGCTGGGGACAACCTTGATTCCTAGAGGTCTCTCTTTGGCCCTTGCAAGTGAGTGCCTATATCTCAGTCAGCAATGGTGTGTGACATCCTTCTCACACTTGAAGCCTTCCTGACTTTACCTGGGTGTCTCAAGACTCTTCTGCCTTATCTTATGCTGTATCTCTCTAACTCCAAGCAAAGAAATTTATCTTATTTTAAGGGTAGATGAGTTGGACTCACCCAAATAACCAAATGAAATATACCTATTTTAAGGTTACCTTAATTATACCTGCAAGGTCCCTTTTGCATGTAAGATAACATAGGACAGCTTCTGGGCATGGTTGCATGGGCATTTAGAGGGGTGGGGAAATTGTCAGCCAACCACACAGAGTGATGGCAGGAATGAGTTGATTTGTATGATTCCTCTCTTCCTGTCTTTTTGCCCTTTTCTCTCACACAGGTCCAATATTGATTCTTCTTACTATAACTCTTTTCACCCTTAGCAGGTTAGAAAGCAGGAGTATTCACCCTCCACTTCAAAAGTGTCTGTAATGTTCATCCAGCTGTGTCTTGACCCACAGGTTGCTTCACATAGTTCTGTACATTTGTTTGTGAAGCCCACTTATTTGATGTGCATCATGATTCTGACTATCACAGTTGTCTCTTTCCTTACACTTGTTACATTCATTGGGTCACAGTGATATTTTCCTTCTGAATTTTGTTTCCTGGTGACCTATCCAAACGCTAGCTGTTTTATGAGCCCACTGAGCTATTGTGTGAACTTACTTCAGGATTTGTGGCAAACCCTGCCTACCATGTTAATTTTAAAAATGGCAAGATACTTCAGTAATAGTCCTGATTAGAGAATGCATGTACTGCAGGGTGAGTCATCTTCACTCTGACATCGGGCTTACTTCAGATTCCTCATTAAACTGCACATGGCTCATTAAACCCCATTGGCTAGAAAAGTGGGTCTTTGTGAAAAAGTGGGTCTATGTTCTGTGCTAATGTTAAATTTAGAACATTTCTGATGCAGATGCCTTTGGGGAAATTTGTAAAGCACTAGCTAATGTGCTAGCAGATTTCATCTCTTAAGTTCCCAAATAAGGTACCTGGAAAACAGCACCCCAGACACCCTAATTCATTCCCAGGTTTCTTGCTATCCAATCTTTATATATCTTATTTATTTTTCTATAATGTCAAACCTCATGATCTTCTGATTACCTTTTTTTTCTACTGTTATCTTTTTTTAAAAAAAAAATTCTTTATTGTTGGAAGTATATATATGCCTTCAGCACCCTATTGTCTGTGTCCATGGGTTATGCATATATGCATACAAAGTCTGTGGTTGATTACTTCCCACCCATCCACCCTCCCTCCCCAGCTTTCCCTCTGAGATTCTGCATCTGTTTCACTCTGTTCATCAGTTTATTTTATTACTTAGATTCCACATATAAGTGAGATCACATGATACTTGCCTTTCTCTGACTGACTTATTTCACTTAGCATGATACTCTCCAGATCCCTACATGCCACCTCAAAGGGTAAGATAGTCTTCTTTTTTACTGCTGTATAGTATTCCTGTGTTGGGACAAGTGTCACACATACTGGTTACCACAGAGAGTGCTGCCCTGACTCTCTGTAGTTCCAGCCTTTTATTTCCAGCTTTCTAATTTAAATTTCCACTTAAAATTCCACCTGTCTATTTAAGTCTGTATGTCTGAAACCAAGATTATAGGATAGCCCTGTCTACAAACTAATTTCTCTTATGCAGCTCCATGTACCTATTGCCCAGGATTGAAACCCAGAGTCACTCTTTGTTGTCTCTCAAGCACCAAGGACCAATTCTCCATCCCATATATGTTGGGGGTATTGTGTCCTGTGATTTACCCTCCCTGATATTACTTTTTATTCACTCATTCATTGAAGGAGCCCTATATTCTAGCACTGTGCTAAGGGCTAGTGATACACAGAAAAGCTGATGAATAAGTCAAGCGCAAAGCCCTGTGGTCATTGACCTCTCAGAAGTCAGGATGGTGTATACACAGGAGTTTGGGAGCTTGAATTGAAGACTCTTCCTGTTTTGGTTCAGCTCATCTCATGCTGGGACATTTGGAAAAGCCTCTGGTCACAAAGCCATTCTGTTCCTTGCCCTGCTGCCTGTGTTTACTTATAAAGTTTGGATCAGATAATGTCACCTGTGACTAAAACACTTCCTTGGCTCCCCATGACACAGGACAAGCACAGATTTCTTGACCCACTTACAAACTCAGCCTTTCCATAGCACTCTTTTATGTAACACAGTTATTAACATCACAGTCCATGAAATAGGAAAGGAAAGAACAGAAATTAAAATGCCTACTCTGCTTTAAAATTTACCATCAGTATCATTTTCAATCACACTCTTTCCCCTTTTGGCAATCAGCTCAATTGATCATTTTCCTAATGATTGCTGTTCATACTTTGCATAACGGTTTCATATAGCAAGACACTGAGCAGTTCTGGTGAACACGGATAATCAGTGTGTGATTAGTTACTGTGCTCACACACACTCCATACAGTTCTGTGGCATATGGCACCATGTAGCACACCAGCAGAAGCAAGGCCTTAGACCTTGCTCTTAGGAATATTGAATTCATCTTTACAGATGAGTATGATCTCAGGAGAGAATGAGAGCCAGGTGCTGACTATCTCTCCCTTCACAGAAGCAGAACATGCGAATATATTCTTTTATTCATTCAGTCACTTAGTCATTCAAGCATCAAATACTTACTGAGCATTTGCCAAGTACCCTGTGTTGCAAAGATGGGTCCTATCCTCAGGGAACTCACAGTCTCTTCTTCATAAGTTCTGTGATTGGATCCAAATGCCGAGATCAAAACAGAGTGAGCCAGGTTTCAGGGACCAGGGGACTGGGGAAATAATGAAACACTTGAGAGGCTTTAAAAGATTGAATAAAGTTTTTTGTTTTGTTTTGTTTGTGTAGCAAGAATATGTATGTTTGTATATGTATTTCAGAAATTAGTGTGTGTGTGTGGGAGGGGAGTGGGATAAGGGAAGGGAATGGGGGTGAGGGATGGTAGCACATGGATGGGGAAAAATGCTGCCCTGGTGAAGTAAACCCAAATGCAAAGGTAGTTAAAAATCTACACAATTACCTTGCAAGGAAATTATGGTAAATTTAGTGTGGCTTGATATAAACAACACAGTGTAGGCAGGCAGGGGCAACAGAGGGAAATGCTGGAAGGTAAATGGTGCAGATGATAGAAGACTATCAAGGAGTGGTGGGTCCCAGAGAGGTCTATTGGCAGGGGCATCACCAATCAGATTATTTTTGAATGAAGGTCAACTGTGGGTATAGAGGATGGATTTGAGATGAGCACTTAATGAATGCTTTTCTGAGGTGACCACAATTAAGTGCATGGTAGTCCCAGCTAACTCTGCCTATTTGTGTGTGCTTTGTCCTAGTGACAGTGCTGGCCATCTTCCATGAGCTGCATGTGGACCCTGACCTGTACACACTCTTGTTTGGGGAGAGTGTGTTGAATGATGCAGTGGCCATAGTGCTAACATAGTAAGTACTGAGATTTGGCCCATGTTTCTCTGATCATGTGAAATGCGCTTCCACTTGAAGATAATTCCTGGTGGCTTTAATAGTTATCTTTTGTGTTATGTTGTAGAGATACAGGCAATTTCTAGCTTTCAAGGAATTGTTACAACAGGAAATCTCCAAAATTGGGTATAATTCACTAAGCACCTAATGTCTAACTCTGTTAATGGGTTTCATGTTTCCAGCCTATTATGATGTACTATGGAGAGGTTAGCATTTATTTATTTTTTCTTAATGCATATATTTAGCTGATTCATGTAGGGTTCCTGAAATGCACATAAATGAGCTTTCTTCATTTCAAATCAATATCATTTATTTTTTTCCTTATACAAGTCATTTTATAGATAATAGACTAATGGAAACCATTGTATTTATAGTAAATTTGGCAAACTGGAGTTAGAACCTGAGAGTCAGAATACTCTTCATTTCTTGATGCAAATGTGATGTGTTAGAGCAGTGGTCAGAAAACTGCGGCTCGCGAGCCACATACGGCTCTGTGGCCCCTTGAGTGTGGCTCTTCCACAAAATACCACATGCGGGCACGCATGTATAGTGCGATTGAAACTTCATGGCCCATGCGCAGAAGTCGGTATTTTGTGGAAGAGCCACACTCAAGGGGCCAAAGAGCCGCATGTGGCTCGCTAGCGGCAGTTTGCTGACCACTGTGTTAGAGGAACCACACATATTCAGGTCCTCAGGAAAAGGGAGATGGACAGCTACAGTTAAGAGCTCCTGCAAGGCTTCCTTAGTCCCGTCCTGCAAGAATTTTCTTTCTGAGATGAGAGCCAGTGCTCCTTCTTCATCTCCTCTTTATACACCACTTATATTTAATACTAGGAGCCCAGTGCACGAATTTGTGCACCTTGAAAGGCACTGTGGGCCTTGAGGTTGCCATGGGCACAGGGCAAGTCTCGGCCCATCCTCTCTGTTCCAACCACCGCCACTCCCACGCATTGACGGCACCAGCCCTGCTCGCACCTGGTGATGGTGTGGAGCAATTGGGGCCGGCACCAGCAGTGGGTGAGAGTGGGGCCAGCGCCCTCAGTGGGTGCGAGCTGCGGCTACTTCCCTGTTCACCCCTCAGGATCAGGGGGAGGTGGAGAAGCACTGAGGGGGGATGTGGGCCAGCAGCCGCCTCTCACACCTGCTGATGGCTCTGAGCAATTGAGACTGGCACTGGGTGCCGGCAGCAAGTGCAAGCGGTGGCTCCGGCACTGGCTGTGGGTGTGAGCGGGGTTGGTGCCGACAGCAGGTGGAAGTGCCGGGCAGGACCACGGTGCGCAGGAGCAAATAATTTTTAGTAACCACCAAAGGCTCACCCTGATGACAGCGACCGGCGCCCCACCTTGATCTGGCCCCCCACCCACTTGCTCCACCATCCCTCCACGGCTGATGTCCATCATGTTCCGCACTCTGTCACCTGCTGCCAATGCCTGTTATGTTCCGTTCACGCTCCCTGGTGGTCAGCGCACGTCATAGTGACCGGTTGTTAGGTTATTTGGTTTTTCCGCCATTTGGTCTATTTGCATATTAGGGTGATGATAGATAGATAGATAGATAGATAGAGAGAGAGAGAGAGAGAGAGAGAGATAATGCCACTTTCACTGAGTCAGGGGTCTCTTCTTGATTTTAGATTAAGACCAACATTTTCGGCAACTGTCAAATAACCAAAGGAAAGGAACCATCTGATAAGTAAATGCGACAACAGGATTGATTTAAGATGTTTATTACTTCTAATACATTTAGAAAAGTACTTTGAAGTAACAAAAGACTTTTAGAAGTGATATCTTAAGAGCAGAGGAGCTGGGGTGGGGGGAGCACTGCTCTTCCTTCCAGCTGACCTTTCTTAAAGTTGCCACCTGGAATCACCACAGAACTCAGCAAATTTCAAGCAAAAGTCTCCAAATAAACTTATATTTCACCTGACCACAGAAAACTGCCTTTTCTGCATTAAAAGAAAATGTTGGTGAGAGCAAATTAAAAGCAAAAGCCATGACAGACTCACAAATGCTGAAGGATGCTTTCAAAGAAATACCAAGGAAATTAATTAGGATATATGGAATCCCTGCCCAAGAAATACAGATATTAAAGGACCATTTAAAAAAAATTTTTAAAAATCTGCCAAGTCCCTCATTTTCACTTTCTGAGCTGCCAATCTGTAAAGGGCCAAGTCAAGAACAAAACCAATAAAGCACAAATGAACTCGGAAAGATCCACTTAGCCACGGCCTAAGGAACGATGGGCCTTTCCAGGGCAGCACTTCCATTCACAGTAGTTTCATTAAAAATGCAGACTCCAGGCCCTGGCCAGTGTTTCTCAGTGGATAGAGCATTGGACCACGCACTGAAGGGTGGAAGGTTTGATTACTGTCAAGAGCATGTACCTGGGTTGCAGGTTCCATCCCTGGCCCTGATTGGGACACGTGTGGGAGGCAGCCAAACGATGTGTCTCTCTCACATTGATGTTTCTCTCTCTCTCTCCCCCTCTCCCTCTCTCCTCACTCCCTTCCAATCTCTCTAAAAATCAATGGAAAAAATATCCTTGGGTGAGGATAACAAAAAAGAAAAGTTACACTCCAGGATGAAAATTGATGTTCATTGAACACAGGCCTGTGGGCTTTAAACAGTCTATTTGTTTGGCGTTGCCTCAGGTCCACATGCAGTTATCACTGGAGGTGCCTCTCCTGTGTCCCTCCCACCCCATGCCAGATCTCCGCCTTCAAAGGTTTCCTGTCATATATGTAAGTCCTTTATCCATTTTGAGTTTATTTTTGTGCATGGTGTAAGTTGGTGGTCTAGTTTCATTTTTTTGCATATATCTGTCCAATTTTCCCGACACCATTTATTGAAGAGACTATCTTGGCTCCATTGTATGTTCTTGCCTCCTTTGTCAAATATTAATTGAGCATATTGGTTCGGGCCGATTTCTGGGCTCTCTATTCTATTCCATTGATCTATATGTCTGTTCTGGTGCCAGTACCAGGCAGTTTTGAGAACAGTGGCTTTGTAATACAGCTTGATATCTGGTATTGAGATCCCACCTACTTTGGTCTTTCTCAGGATTGCTGCAGCTATTCGGGGTCTTTTTTTATTCCAGATGAATTTTTGGAGAGTTCGTTCTAGATCTGTGAAGTATGCATTTGTGTTTTAATGGGAAGTGCGTTGAATTTATAGATTGCTTTGGGTAGTATGGACATTTTAATGATGTTGATCCTACCAATCCATGAACATGGTATGTTCTTCCATCTGTTTATGTCTTCCTCTATCTCTTTTTTCAACGTCCTGTAGTTTTCTGAGTAGAGGTCTTTTACCTCTTTAGTTATGTTTATTCCTAGGTAGCTTAATTTTTTTGGTGCGCTGGTAAATGGGATTGTTTTTGTACTCTCTCTTTCTGAAAGTTCACTATTGGTGTATAGAAATGCCTCAGAATTCTTGGGGTTAATTTTGTATCCTGCTACCTTGCCAAATTCCTGTATTAAGTCTAGTAGTTTTTTGATGGAGTCTCTAGGGTTTTGTATGTATAATATCATGTCGTCTGCAAATAAGGACAGTTTTACTTCCTCTTTTCTAATTTGGATGCCTTTTATTTCTTCTTCTTGTGTAATTGCAATGGCTAATACTTCCAGTACTATGTTGAACAAGAGTGGTGAGAGCGGGCATCCCTGTCTTGTTCCTGTTCTTAGGGGAAATGGTGTTACATTTTGTCCATTGAGAATGATGTTGGCTGTGGGCCTGTCATATATGGCTTTTATTATGTTGAGGTATGATCCTTCTTCTCCCACCTTGCTGAGAGTTTTTATCAAAAATGGGTGTTGGATTTTGTCAAATGCTTTTTCTGCATCAATTGATATGACCATGTGGTTTTTTTCTTTCAATTTGTTTATGTGATGTATCACGTTTATTGATTTGCGGATATTGTACCATCCTTGCATCCCTGGGATAAATCCTACTTGGTCATGGTGTATGATCTTTCTGATGTACTGCTGGATCCAATTTGCTAAGATTTTGTTGAGGATTTTGGCATCTATGTTCATGAGGGATATTGGCCTGTAATTCTCTTTCATTGTGTTGTCTTTCCCTGGTTTTGGTAGTAGGGTGATGCTGGCTTCATAGAATGAGCTTGGAAGTGTTCCTCCCTCCTGAATTTTTTGTAGTAGTCTGAGGAGGATAGGTTTTAGTTCTTCCTTGAATGTTTGGTAAAATTCACCTGTGAAGTCGTCTGGTCCTGGGCTTTTGTTTGCTGGAAGCTTTTTGATGACTGCTTCAATTTCTTCCATAGTTATTGGCCTATTGAGATTTTCAGATTCTTCCTGATTGAGTTTTGGAATGTTGTATTTTTCTAGGAATTTGTCCATTTCCTCCAGGTTGTCTAGTTTGTTGGAGTAGAGTTGTCCATAGTATTTTTTAACAATCATTTGTATTACTGTGGGGTCTGTTGTTATTTCGCCCCTATTGTTTCTGATTTTGTTTATTTGGGTCCTCTCTCTTTTCTTCTTGGTGAGCCTGGCTAGAGGTGTGTCAATCTTGTTTATCCTTTCAAAGAACCAGCTCTTGGTTTGATTGATCTTCTGTATTATTTTTTTGGTCTCTATGTCATTTATTTCTGGTCTAATCTTTATTATCTCCTTCCTTCTGCTCACTCTGGGGTTTTCTTGTTGCTGTCTTTCTAATTCTTTGAGTTGTAGAGTTAGATGATTTACTACCATTTTTTCTTGTTTTTTGAGATAGGCCTGTAGAGCTATAAACTTCCCTCTCAGGATTGCTTTCATTGCGTCCCATAGGTTTTGGATTGTTGTGTTTTCATTGTCATTAGTTTCCAGGATGTTTTTAATTTCTTCTTTGATCTCATTGTTAACCCAATCAATATTTAATAACATGCTATTCAGCTTCTAAGTGTTTGAGTATTTTGGGTTGTTTTTATTGTAGTTTATTTCTAATATTATACCAGTGTGATCTGAGAAGGTG